CTTTTGTTGGAGTCTTTGGAGCTTATCCATAAGCTCCCTACTATAATAAGAAGGTATGTGCCTTCTTCTCATAGCACTCCTCAACTCATTCCAATAAGTGATGGGAGGATCATTGTGAAGTCTTCTCTCTCTTTCCAAGGATGTCCACCAATACATGGCTTGTCCTTGAAAAGCTAGGGTGGCCAAAGGAACCTTTCTTTCCTCACCTACTTGATGACAAGTGAAGATTTGCTCCACTTTCATCTCCCAATCCAAGTAGGTGTCCACATTATCTTTTCCATGAAAGTAAGGGAGATCAATCCTTGATTCCCTCACTTTGTGTTCTTTAATGACTCTCCTAGGTGTGGGTTGATAGTAAGCATCCATATGCATACTACCATCATTATCTTGGCTTTGAGAATCATTGGAGCTCTTGGTTGAGCTCCTTGAAGAACCTTTTTGACTTTTATTTTTATTTAATTTTTTCAAAAGTTTTTCTTCTCGTTGCTTAATCTTTTGAATCTCTTGTTCTAAAGCCATGATTTGTACTTCCTTTTCAAGCTTTTCTTTTTGTTTTAGAAGTATCTCATCATTTTTCCAAAGTTTTAGTGCTTCAACCTCCTTGATAATTTTTTTTAAAACTTTTAGGAGTATCAAAATCACTACTACTTGGAGAATGGTGACTCATGATTAAGCAATGAGATGAAAAACTTTTGAAAAAATTAAATAAAATTTTTGTTCTAAGGTCTCCTCCTCCCTTGGAGACCTTAGCCAAGCCTAGGAAGAATCAAGGAGCCAAAGATCTAGGGAGGAACTTGAAGAGGATTCACATCAATCCGGATTCTCCAAGCAAGTTTCCACCAGCTTGGGCCCCACCTTGGCTGCCACATCTTTTCCTTTATTCCCACCCACTTGGAATGAGAAAATTTGGGACAAATCCTTAGATGATTTGCCATTACTTTTGTGCCCGCTTTTCCTGTTTTTACGTTTGACCACTAACCACTCACCATGTGGCTCGATATTAGATGAATCCGATTTTGTGGAAGATTCCACGCGACTTTCATGCAACATAATATTCTCCTGTTCCGATATTGGTGTAACCCTTGACATGGATTCATGTAGGGTTTCTTTTCCATGGTCGTGTGGCAACACGACGACTTGCGACTCCTTCATTGCAGGATGTGTTTTGGTATGGAAATTCTGTGTGATGTGGCCGTAACACCCACACGTAGAGCATAACATGTGGAGACCCTCATATTCTACGTTGTGCCACTTCCCATTTAGACTAAATTTGCCCACCACCGGTTGACTCAAATCGATCTCAACACATACTCTGGCAAAGTAACCTCTAAACATGTTTATAGTTGTGTTATCCACCCGCAATGGCTTCCCTATGGCTGATGCCAACATCAGTAAGACGCTTTCATTATAGAACATCATGTTTAGATTCGAAAACCGTACCCAGATAATGGTTTTTTCAATGTGGTCCTCCAATGCGGAGAAATCAAGTGACCATGGTCTGACCGTAAGATAATGGTCAAAGATCATCCACGGTCCTCCATTGATCACTTTGTCAGTATTTATCTCCATGTCAAACTTCACCAAGAAGAATCCATTGGTCACGTCCAGGAGTTCAAATCCACCCGCTAGCTTCTATGTGGCTTTCATTTTTTCGCGTAAAGTGAAAAATCCTAGGCGTTTGCCTAAGAGTTTCACCACCAAGCATGCCCTCCATGGGTTATAGAATTGATCGAAGGTCGAAGGGGCGATCGTGAATTTTGGTAGAAGCCTTTTCCCGCCTTCAAGTTCCATATTCATCTCACCTTCCACAAGCAAATCACGGACCTTTGTTTGCGTAGTCGTTTTACCTATTACTTTCTCCTTGAAGGATACATGATGATGGATTAGGCCTCCACCATCCCCATCAGGTGGTTTGGGAGGGGAATCACCACCGAGACCAGAGGAAAAACTCAAAGCGCTTGACATGCCCTAATTTTTCTTGAAATTAAATCCTTTTCGTCTTATGTGTTAAAAAGTATACATATCTCAAATTTTAAGAACTAAAAATATAACTAAATCTTTTTTTTATATTATTTGAAACCAAGGGAGTTACTTTATTTGGTGTCTACAATTTTATTTTACTTTTTACTATTTTCTCTTTAAAATTATCTATCAAATTATTATTTTCTTTTACCATTTTTTAAAAATTATCCTTATAATTACAACTACTCAAAAATTATTCATGCCCTTTTATTATTGATCATTCACTTTATTTAATTTTTTTTAAAAAAATATACGGAGACATGAGATATCTTTTAATACTAATTTAAATAAATATTATCATATTAGTTTTTCTTTTCAACATAAACAATTTATTATTATTTTAGTTTTAAATTTTTTTTGAAAACTTTAAAGGAGTGAGACTTTACCTTATATCTCTTAAGTAATTAAAATAACTTTATCTAATAAATTATCATGTTCATTTAGTAAATAGGTTACAATTTTTTTACCCATAAAAAAGATTAAAAAATGATGATTGAAATCAAATTTAGGTTCTCAAACTTTTACATTAACTCTTTCCTTTCCCCCTTTAACCACTAAGTTAGTCTAATAGTTAAATTTTATTTATATACTAGCTTAAAAAGGCACAATAAAAATAACATGATACTAAATGGTTAATTAAATGTATGAGCGTCTATGAAATGAAATTTACAAAAATAAATATAAAAAAAATTGTTTTTTACCAAGAAATTTCTACCACGGAAAAGAAATATAGATCAATGAACACATCTTGCTAAGCGTCTTTAACAACACAAAAATTAGGGTCAAGGTTTGCTAAGCTAAAAGGTCTAACTAAGCTAAACCCCACAACTACCAACCATAAAGACATAAATATGTTGGGAAAATTAATATAACCATCCCATAAAGGCCACAACTTGTTGAGCAAAATCCTTTCATGGAGGAGCTCAAAAGAGACTTACAATTTCCCAAACAAACACACAAAGGTTAAACCTCGCTTACCCATCTTGTTTCCTAAGCAAATCCACTAGGGGGTCCCAAAAACATATGTGTGCTTGGCTAAGCAAATGATGGAAGATTCAACTTGTTCATCAGTTTCTCTAAGTGAGACCAATCTTGTTGAACAAAAATCCATCATCTTACACTTGGCCCTTCATCCCTCGAAGGCTTGTTGAGAAAGCAAGCCTAGAATATTCCACATAGAGGGTTTTCCATGTGCTCAAAACCAAATCTAATATTGGCTACAAATAATAAGTCATCAAATTGGCTCCAAACAACATCATAATCATTCACACAACATATATAAACAAAAATTAAGCTTTATTAACCTTAAATTAACTTTCTATGAGTTAAGACTAATGAAAAAAAGTCTTTCCAAAAACCCAACTTTAAGTTTTCTAAAGGAATTAAAAACATAAACATCCTACTACCGATCAAACAACTTTATAAACATGTTGTGTTATAATAGCTCTAACCAAAAGCCACTACCAACAAGGCCACCCAAAACTCTCCAAGCCCACCCTCCCCCTAATCTTAACCAAGTCACATACCAAGTATGATCATTACAATCTAACACATGAAAATAAAGGTGAGCTCGTACAACAGAAACAACATATACGAGAAAGCTTTATAATCTAATTAAAACAACTTTATATAACTCTTCAACATGTATCAAATCAAATAACCAATTTTATCATTAGCAACGTATTTACAACCCAAATCAAAATGCATTTCATCTCACACCTTTCAACATTATATCCTTATATCAACATAATAGCTCAAAATTAACTCAAACACAAATACAACTTCCAACTCAACACTTTAAAATATAATGAATCCAAAACTTTACAACTTAACATCTCTATGTGTTGTCACACATTTTCAACTATGGATATCTCTTACAACTTTGTGAGAAATTTAAGTGGTTTGATCCTACTGAACCTATAATGCTTCATGTTATCGTTAGGTCGTAAATACAACTCAGCAGACATAATATCCATAAACAACTCAAATGGTTTCTTAGACCTTGCCACTTAAATTAGGAAGGTATAATACAACCTTTGTAATGGAAATATCGAGCTATTTAGTATATATACTTTATGTATATATATATATATATGTATATATATGTATGTATATATCTGTATGTTGTTTATTTGGATTTGGATTGGATTTGGAGGTGTGGATTTGAAATGTACTTATCTTGTGCATGTTGTATGTTTATGTAATTTTGAGTGGTTGTTTGGATATAGTAGTGATTTTATAGTATGAGATGAGAGGTTTATACAAGCATGTGTATCCTGAATGTGGTGAATGATGCATTGTACACCATTATACTGAATTGGTACTAAGAGGGAAGAAGATTGACCACCTTCCTTCTCATCTTAGTTAAGTGAAGTATTATGGCATGCAACTCATTATTCCAAGCATATGTATATGAAAATGATGTTTGTTTGAGTGTTGATATATATATATTGCATTTCATATGGTGGTGAGTTGTGAGTATTGTATAGAAAGGAATAGGACTAGTGGGATATTGAAAGATAGGAACATAAGATAACTCCGGTCTTTCTGAGTGAATTTGAGGTTGTTTTACAACTTAGGGAGTTGAAATACTTCAAGGAATAGAATATTTGAGGTGAATAGTTACTAAGGGTGAAATTTGGAAATTTTGGAAAATGACTATATATAGGGACTTAGGACCGGAGGGTCTCATTTGTTAAACAGAGACAATTTCTAGAAAGAGAAAGTAGAGAGAGAGGCTCTGGTCCGGACGGAAGCTGAGGACACATTTGAGAAGCTTATCAAGCCAGGATCAATCTTCACAACTAGAGTTTCAAGAGATTTAACCTCTAAAGCCTTGAAAAGGGGGATTAAAGTTTGAGTTGGGATTTGAGGTTTTTGTTCAAATCTTGCATTTTTTAAGTTTCTGAGGTAAGGGTAGTACTTATAAGACTTAATCTGATGTGTATGGGTTTGAAATATCACATTGATTCCATGATTTATGCATGATTAAGGATGGATTGAGGGGAAAGGGTTATGGTTGGGGTTTCTTCATGATTTCCACGAATTAGTGGTTAAGACTTGATTTCATTGCTTAATATGTTGTTTTTGGATAGTATTTATGCTTTGTAATGATTTGAACTCATGTAATTTGAATTGGATTCATGTTGGGAAGAATTTTTTTAGCTTTTCGAGGGTTTCTGGTAGTAAATGCGCCGGGCTCAGTTCTTGGCGCCGGGCGTGAATTCATCAGGAACCACCATTGCCAAATCACACCGGGCGCAAGGCTAGTCGCGTTGGGCACTATTTAGAATAGGAATCCTTGGGTGAATCACGCCAGGCGTGGGGTGAACCATGTCGGGCGCACTATCAGACGTGGGCCTTGTATTTTTGGTTACTGATATTGTGTCGGGTGTGATCTGAGCAAACCAGGCACGATCTGAGCACACTAGGCGTGGAGACTCATTGGGAGTCTCTATTTGGAATTGCGTCGGGCGTAGGATAATTGTGCCGGGTGCTGAGACCTTTGTAGGTCTTTGTTTGATTTTTGCGCCGGGCGGGATATTAATGCACCGAGCGTGAGTATGTTGGTCTTTAAGTCTTTATAAAAGTTGTAGCCTTGGATGTTAGCTTTTCAATGGCGTTGGAATCACCCAAAAAGGAGGTCTAGAACTCCAGATATGACTATTTTACTGAACAGGGGTCAAGCTGCCAGCATTGGTTATAGCTGTTGCGGTTTTTAGAATTTTTAACAAAGTAGATTATGGAATTAGGACTTGATGTATTCATAAGAGTTGTAGGAAATCTTCTTATCTTTCACATGAGATAAGTATGAGCATGATAGGAGTAGTATAACTCCTGATATGCTATTTTATGTGAAGGTTGCCATTTCACAAGGAGTGATTTAGTTAAGTTGGCATGATTATGGAAAAGTTTGTATGTAATTATGTAATATGCTATGTGTGTTTGGTTTGGAAAGCTAATAGGACTTAGAGGAGTAAGGTTATGGTATGGATTGGGAGATCTCTTAGTGAGATCAGGATATAGTCTTTTGGAAAATATGGAATTTTGAGAACTAGGCCATGCGACTTCTTGGGTTGGGTCATGCTTTCCAAGGCGCACTTAACCTTGAGTGCGTCAAAGAAAATGGTGGGGACCAACAACAAACGTGACAAACTACGACGGAGAAAGCTAGAGCGGGATCTTACCCCCTTTGATACCAACTTAAAGTTTGAATATGACCATAAAATCAATGAGAAATCTTAGTTAATGCACTTTATATATTTGTATATGAGAGAGACAACAAGTACAATCAAAGTAGCAAAATTAAAAGAGGCTCCTGCTTATGACGTCTGATCAAAAGTAAAAATACAACTAATACAACTTTATATAGTTGTACTACAAAATATATAATAAACTATTATAACAAGGTTCAAACCCTAAATTCCAAGAATAATAAAAAAACAAGCGAAAGTGGTTGAGAAATGCACTTGGATTTTCTTAATGAAACATCATTCTGATGTTTTCCATGTTTTTCAAAGTTTGTCCACTGAAATTGCTACTCAATT